GGGATTTTTCAACTGATAGAAATGACGGAAATAGTTTGCCTTCATGCACAAAAGTGAGTTGATCTTAGATATAATTTAAAATGTAGTATTGGATTCTGTCATTAGAAACGGTGCTTACTTCTGCTATAAAATTGGAACCATTAAACAAAACATCATTGTGTGACGCCATACAAATTTCAAGTGAACTTTAATAACTGTTTCAGTATGTCGTTTTATATCCATAAGTATATATATCAATAACGTTTGAAATCTTGCGTGGACATTTTTCGCTCCCTTTTCCCGTGTTTTCATGCCCGTGGATCGAAAGATCGGGGGCATGTTGTTTTTGTGTTGTCTGTTTGGTTTGCTTTTCTGTTGCCAACTTTATCCTTGCCCATAACTATTGACCGTACGAGGTAGGGCTTTCATATATGACATGTGTGCTCCTTGTGACAAAACATTTTCGATGGTACCATTTTTTTCACCACGTGACCTTGACCTTGAGTTTTGACCTACATTTGAAAGTAAAAAAAAATTACATATTACCACAGCGAAGACAGAAGTGTTTCACAAAGTGTGCATGAAATTAGCACATGCCTTTCACAGTACAAGTTTAATGTACCATTTCGGAATTTTGTTTCAAACGGGGGCATTATGTTTCATAAACAAATCTTGTTTCAAATGTTATTTTCTCCTGTGTTGCCTGTCCCAACAAGACAGTTACCACCGGTATAGCAAACATCCGGAAAAGATACAAACATACATTATATGTTAGCTATCATCGTTATTTTTCGTTTTTTGCAGCAAGGACCAAATGATGAAGATTTCGCTTCTCCTCAAACATACCTTACAGTCATCTCTTTAACATGTATCAAAGCCAGACATATCCCGTGCCTCTGTAATATCTAACAATGTTATTTTGTATTGTATCATATAAAATCGCGAGTTTTAGTTTAACGAGGGACCTAAATAACCCAGGTCTCTGATTTTGATCAAACTTCATTAAGATCTTTAAAAAAAATCCATCTGCTTCAACCATGCCACAAATATGAACGGTGGACCATTAACGATAGGAATATTTTTTATTGTCGATAATTTAATTCACTTGACACACCACTATATGCATTGGGTTTATTACAGCATAAAAGAACAGAAACATCAAGGGAGCAAATATCTCGACGGATTATTGCAGTGTTTTTACAGCGCGTGAGACAATAAATAACACATGTTACCCGTTAACACACATGTTCAGCTGAATTAAACATCATGGATTATGTCTGGCGATGGTTTTTCCGTTAAATGCAACTTTTTATTGTTTGGTAGTAAATACAAATTTGTATCTACATGTTTGATTAACGAGATACATGTATATTGGACAGAGATATCAATTCCATGATCGATGCCAGCTATAAATGTTTGTAATAATTCTGGTGTGGTTTCATATTTTCTTTTTATATAGGAGAATACTTATTTCAATTAGCGAAATTCCGGCAACTTTCATGCAGTTGCTGATAAAACCTATTTACAATAATCGTTGTTAATGCACCAGTTTTCACCTCAACGTTAAATCATTCTACCACATACTTAACATGTTTAATTTTATCATAGACTAATATTTTAGTTTCGGGCTGTTTGATATCTTTAGATGGAGTGCATTTCAGTCGTAAAGAGATACAAAAATGTAGTCTGGTATTTACATAAACTGAAGTTATCGCTTCACATTCCCGTTGGTTTAATTCTGTTATTAATGAAGCCAGTAATTTTATAGAGACCTGTATTGACTATGTTATGCTAATACAAGAAGTTATTACAAGTCAAAGAATCGGGGTCGTTTAGTGAAGGGTTAAAGCGAAAAGAACCAAGACATAGAATTATGAAAACGCTGAAGGAAAGCTGACAAATAAGACAAAGGAAAACACTATAAAAAAACTTTATTTATTTTACAACAATTGTGAAACAAGTTATTTCAACTTATACTTATCACTCGTGACGGCCCGGATGTAAGCGCAAGGGGTCTTATTGTGGGAGGAAACCGGAGTACCCGTGGAAAACCTACGTGGTCAGACAGGTGACCCTTACTTTTTCACGTCCGTTCCAGGAGTCGAACCCCGGCTAAGTAAAAAGGCGAATGCGTTACCACTGCGCCACCCGACCACCCACACTGATGTTGCATAAAATAATAATTAATGGAAACAATTAAGGATTGATCATATACGAAATGTCAGCGGGACATCTTTTAGTACTGGCTGAAATTCAAAAACCCAGGCAAAGAAAAGATGGCCACAACAGTAGTCATCTTGGAGTCGATTGAGGCCAGAATTTTACACAAGGTTAGTGTTTGGTCCACAGATGGTCCAGTCTGAAATGGACTGATTCTGAACACATTCGATTTACTGCTCTGTAGGTAGTTCGTAAGAATCGTTCCTACTGCATGATCTTTCTAAGCAAATATTTCTTCTTAATGCCTCCAAAGGCACTGCTCGTCCAAAGTCCATCCTCGATATTCCTGGGGTAACGATCAATTTCGCTCTCTGTACCTCTGGGCCATTTCCTGGCAAAATTAAAGGTTCCATATGCGACACCTTGTGGATAAGACGAAGCTCTATGTCGGTGTATAGTAAAGGCTTTGAACTTGGGTATCACACCTTTGTAATCTTCAAAAGGACCGTATCAGCCTGCGATTGGTCATTTTTTGTCTCCTGGAACCAATCAAGTTACTTCGGTTGTGCCTTCATTTGACGTGACATGTTCCAGTAGTGCAGAGAGTTCCAGTCTCAGTTAGAAAGGCTTTGGAGTTTTTTTCCCCAAGATAGGACATCCAAATATGGTAGTCCAATGACTGGTTTGCCCGTTGTCAACATGTATCCTTCTGGGTATGGTAACACTATAAAACTATGGACTTATATATCCCCCTCTTCACCCTCCTCTTACCCGCTAAATACACCCACTCTTGTTTCATAACATGCACTCTCTTCGTGTCCTAAATTACCATAGCTAGATAGGATGTTAAAAATATAATGTCATACCATGTCGCAGTACATTAAATGATCCGAGCGAGAATGCTACTTGAACATCGTGTACATATACTAACCTCTTCTGTCAATACACCAAATGTATGGCCAAAGCTGGTCTGACGAAACAACAACAGAAACATGCCATTGTGTCATATCCGTTCAATCTGTAATTCTAGCATGACACATCACCAGTTCACACTGAACTAACAACTGGTTAACCGGTTTTTACCGGCCTCAGAGAGAACGCAAAACACGCACCAGCAATATACTATGTTTGTAAACCTAGTCCCGACTTCCCCCGCGGGAATAAACAGTGTCTCACTGAGTCTTGTATAAGAGGCGAAGACTTAGGTCTTCCGTCGGTATTTTAACTTTGGATTTTCTGGTTTTCTCTCTTTTCCGCCCGTTTTGTCTTTTGTGTTAACTGTGTTATATTCTTTGAATTTTTAAACATTTAAAAAAAAATCACTTCTCGAGTTTCTCGCAATCATTCAAGTTGTAACAATGTCATTTCGAGGCTTGCTTTCATGTAATTGTAAAATTGTTTTGACATTTCCTGATATTGATTTTCGCTGCATTTGTTTTGTTTTTATTTCTTTTTTTTTTTTCAGTCTCAAAAATAGTTTATACTTTTTTTTCATTCTTAGCTTTCTATTTGAATTATGCCCGTAGCATCAGCCTTTAAATCCTGTGTCACTTCCGGAGTCCGGATTACTAATATGTTATCAAAATCTGTTCAGTTACCGTTAAAGTTCATCTTTCCAATACAGCCAAATGAGTTTTTATCATGGTGCCACGTCCGTCAGCTGATCGCCAAGGAGCTCAATAACGATAACTTGAAATCCCTAAAATCTCTTCTCTTTGAATGAAGGTATTTATACCGAATTTTGTTAGAAGCCTTTTTAAGGGAGGGGATACGTCGAAACGGTGGATCTGGGACCGCAGGGTAGGACTTCATTGCGAAAATGCAACGAGTCGTGTGTCCATTTGTAGCCGCTATCAGTCGAAACCTATCCATTTCTTGCGTCGTGTGTACATTTATGGGAGCCACCAGTCACAAACTCTACCCACTTTTCGTGCCATGTCAATTCTTTGCATTGTAATATTGGATTGACCAAGATTTACAGGGTGGGTGTCGTGGATGAAGTAGAAGACGCTAACCCTTTAGGAAAACTTGGGTGTAAAGCGTTCTTTTCTTCATATTTTGTACTCGTTTCGTTGAAACATTTGAATGAAGATTCTGTTGACATTTCCATTTTCCCCTTATAAAGTAAGTGTATAAATGGAAAATTTGTTTCTCCGCAATATTTTTGAGTTTTGTTGCATTGGTTTAACACAAAAAACATAATTGTCTTCTTTGGAAAATAAAATACAATGCTATGTGACATGTCGTGACGTCAGTAGATTACAAAGTGACGTCACACACTTAGCAAATCACACTGTGACGTCACAATGGAGACTACAGATAAAGAGCCAAGATAAATTCACGTTTAAGGAGGAAAATAATTATTTCTATAATATTTGCCAAAGAAATTAATCGTAAAATAGAAGAAATATTCATCTTTCCTTCTATTTCATGACACTCATAACAAACTTTAAAGTTGGTTCACAAGAGTTAAGCTTAATAGAAAAAACTTCTTAAACTCATTTCTACAAATCTGAATGATGTATGAAGGAAACTTCTGTAAGATTCTACATCAATATTATAGCTATAATAGCTCAAATCATGGAATAGACTTGAGGTACTTTATTTGTAGGTTTTCTTTACAACAAACCAGTGCTGCTGATGTTTGACATGCAGTTTAATCAAACTGTGAAGACACAACTGCCGCTTGGTCACCACTTCAGTAAGGTCTTGTGGAAGTGTGATAACTTTGGTAAATATTTCGGTAACATTGGGCCAGGTGACTAGTAGCTTTCATGGTCTGTATAGAAAAGATTGTAAGCCTTGCTGATTTCTAATCAGACCAGCAAAGGAAAAATGAATAAGAACAAGATAACTAGGTGTTAATTTACAATACGATTTATTAACTTTTCTTTATTAATCATTCAAATTTGTCAAAGTTGTCCAGACAACGCCACAAAACACCTACATATTTATTAGTGCAAAATACAGTAACTTTTTGAGCTTCATTCAAGCCATCTACAAATAATTTTTCTGAACCTGGCAAAAAATACTGAGTCTGCTAAACCTTCAGAAGAACCAAGTCACTTTCTGGTCAAAATACAACAATTGTTTCTTTCTCCCTTGACCCAAAATCTTTCTTCAACAATCCTTCTTATCTTCATGTAATAAATGAAGAGATGGCAATATGTAACAATGCTGGAAACTGGCAGAAAGAACTTTTAATAAGCTTAAAATTTCTTTATCTTTTATTCTACCCACAATCAACATCTACACACTACAAAACAAATTCAACAAATAAATGATAATTTTCTTCCATACAGTTACAGATTTCCAGGACACTTGTTTTTTCTCATCACTGTTGTTAATTGCATCAATTTCATAATTCAACATTTCATTTGATCATAACTAGCTAATTAGGGAAATCATTGTAATTTACATCAAATTTAAATCAATTTTTATTTGCACTTTTTAAAAATTTAGCACATACACAATGTACCTACATTTTTTTTTAAACACCCATGGCTTTCAGATACAATAAAAACAGTGTGCTGACGAAACTCATTCACAAAACCTCTCAATGTGCTTGGCACCACACAACATACAGAAACATCTAATTCATAGCTTTTTTTAACTATATCCTATACTTCTACTTATTTTCTCATTACAGCACACATGGACATAATCTTATTTTCAAAGATATTACTATATCACATTTCAACTTTGTATTGAAAATCATTACGGTGTCGAAGACTTCAAATGATAGCTATTTTCTTATCAAATGCTCCTACAACTTCAATTATCACAATGTTATTTTCAGTATTGTATACACCATCTGAAAATAAATACAATAAATAAACGAATTTTTACTTAATTTAACTTTTTGATGAACAACTTTCATACTTCAAGCTCCTGGCTTACAATATAATGAATATCCTGTAAGTCCAAAATGCAGAAAAGTGAGAATTTAATGAACGAGAGTAAAAAAACTACACTCCTTTTCAGTGTTCTTTACATCACCAACCAAAATTTACATTAAGAAACTCTCAAAAATCAGGAGATAATCAAATGAAATGGCTGATTAAAGTAATTTTTAAAAACTAATTCTGTTGTTACCCTTTTTGAAATATCTGTTGGAAAAAAACAGATAAATAAGATCTCTTTGTGTGTGGAACATTCAAGTCATGCTGTAGTAAATTTGTAGTAGAGGAAAAATCGTGCCAAAACGAGCAAGTCAAATGATCAACCATGTGGCAGGTGGAAAACTTTACACCTACAAACACTTAGTATTGTATGATATTCTCGTTGTATCTTTTATGGAAAAGAGGACAATATCTACCTCCAATTCAAAAACAAAATTTCACCTTGGACTGTAATAGTGCTGAAGGTCAAATTCATAATATTTATCATAGGCTAGAAATTAAATCTTAAACTTGTTCCTCAAATCTCTGGTAGATCTGCCCTGGATAATAGTCATGGGACTGTACGAAATGGTCAAAAACAAATAAATTCTTACCAATCAACTTCATGTAGGTACTTTTCTAACATCTATTTCATACACAAATGTGAGCCCTGTAATATCGAATGAAGGCCAGGAGATTTTTTCCGAAACTTCACTTAGATCTATCAAGAAAACTATAAGTCCAATAGAAGAACACTATATTTGTAATTCTTTTGAAGTCAAGGAGTTGATTGACAGATTGACATAAAAATCTATATAACCATATATCTGCGAAAAATTTGGATAATACTTTTGGTTTATGTGTGCACAACCTTGTTTCACTCTAAAGATCCTAAAAATTCCCCAAGACATAATGAAAGCCTCTTTCAAATACGTTGTACATACATACTTCTACATGCCCTTTGGAACACACAACACTGTCCCTTAGTCCAATAATGCCCTGACCAAGTAGAAATGATTGGCAGTCTCAATTAAGAAGAGCAAAAACAAAATTTGAGAAACATCTCAGGTATAAGTAATAATTATTTTCATGAGACAAGATCCAATATAGCCACCTACCAGCCATTTTGAATTGCTAATCAGTCTCAAAATCCAAAATGCACAGCTAGGGACCAATGCAGCATGAACAGAGACAAGGAATTTGATATTGATCCATCAAGTACTCTCTAAGAAATAGTTAAGTCAAACTTTAACCATCAAAATCCAAGATGGCTAACTTTTAGCCTGTTGTTTTATATACATTGAAAGATAAACTCAGGACTTCAATAAAGAAACAGATTAAGATCTCTGTCATGATAAAGATTGCTTGTCTATGGGCATGTTGTGGAAAAAATTAAAAGAAATGACATTTATCAGAAAATGATCTTATTGGTGATATAAAAGATTAATATAACTTCACCCTTGACCCTTTGGTGATGGGGCACAAACCTGAGAAATGCACATAATGTCAATTACCATCAACAAAATCTATTTTTTTCCAGAAAACAACCACCTGTCAAGATAAAGGACCGATGGAAAAGTTTTGGTTTTAATCCTTAATAAAGAAATAAAAAATAAATGCAACAATTTCTGAAATTAAATATCTATCGACAGATCTTTAAGTATATACATATGTAACTGGCACAATATCACGAAAAAGGTCAAACTTTGATAAGTTTTCACTCACAGAAATCCCATAAATCAGAGTTTGGATTAAGTGCTTCCTAAACAGAAGGTGACAGATAAACACCCAAAACTTTTCTTGAAAATGAATTATTCCATGACAAATAAAGTGATTGGATCATAAAGCCCCAAATCAAATCTGGTATCACTCAGAAATACAGCTGACGTGGAGTCCTCATACACACACTCATATATATATATCAACTGTCTGAAATGATTGATGCTGTTATACATTTGATTAACAAAATTTAATTAATATAAAACTAATGTCAACAACATATGAAATAGTCAGGTGTTTTACACATTAAATAGTAAGGAACACATTGATTGTGAAATCTGACAATATACCTATCACATTGCTTGTCACCCTGACAACATACCTCTCAAATAAGTTGTCGCCCTGACAACATATCTTTCACATCAGTTGTCGCCCTGACAATACATCTCTCACATCAGTTGTCACCCTGACAACACATCTTTCACATCAGTTGTTGTCCTGACAACATACCTCTCACATCAGTTGTCCCCATGACAACAGTCCTCCACACTGGTTGTCAGCTGACATACAACACCTATAAAGCTTATAACAGCCTACAATTGTCAAGTATCAGTATTTTCAGTCAATCTTCATCAAAATCGTAAGTATAATTCAGTTCATCACAAATTCAGAATATGATATATTGGAAGCCAGCAAAAATGTGTGTTAGAATTTTTTGTTTTGTTTTCTATTTTTATTTTTAAATTGCATTTCACAATATAGGTTTGGCCTATGGTTGAACCAAAACATCTATTATAACATAGATGCATAAAGTCGAAATCAGATACAAAAGTAACAAGAGAGACAAACTAAAGACCCAGTTTAGTTTTGTTCTTGTTTTTGGATTTTAAACACACGTCATTAGGTTCTGTATCAATAGTGCAAGCAGAGTTGTTACTGCTTTTATAAAAGGGCAGTCACTTTCATATTATACACAAAGACCTGATTGTTGGAGAACAAGTATCAACAAACTGTACAGCTAAGCTATGATGGAAGGGGACATTACTCCAAGGAAAAAAATATATGTATAATACAAAGAGGGAGATAACTCTTATGATAAATATTTTGTGTGGGAAAAGAAAAAAGAAATACAAAAAACAAAACAAAAAACTATGTGAAAATGCCTAACACAAAGTGTAAACACAAAATACAATTTGAAAGTTTGGGCTATGATAAACTTAAACCAATATTGCAAACAAACTGAGAGGACAATAAAAATCATTATACCTCCCAAGCTTTATACAGAAAAGATATTAAGATTATTTGTTCCTTGAAGTGTTCTAAGAATGCCAGTTGTGTAATACTTTAGTTCAATAACTTTCAAAGTGTAAATTTTGCATGTAATTTGCCACAAGAAGAAGCATTAATTTTCCTTGATCACTTCTCTCAAAAAACACATGGATAACTTAGACAGTCTAAATCTTACAATTCAAGGTGATTCAAAGTTTGATCCACATGTGTAATGAGAGGTGCAAAGAAATTTAGAGAAAATCATATCAACATACTTACCAACAAAATGAAGCGATGGTTTTGTTAAAATTCTGATCTGTTAATGTCATGGCTAATTTTAGTCTAGTGTTAAGGTCTCTGTACAGAAATCTCATACATCATGATCACAAAACAATTTACACAACACATTCCATATCCTACTCAAGTCACATGTCCTACAAACAGATCACATGGCTTTGCCAAGAGATCACATGACTTAACACATCACATGACTTTGCCTATAGATAATATGACTTTACATATCATATGAATTTGCCTAATGGTCACCAGGCTAATGTTTCTACAGGTCACTCTGCCCTCGAGATATGGGTGAGATGTTATGTTGTACGACGTTTCCTGAGGTTCTGTCTGTAGTGGCCAACAGGAGGTCTAAGATATGATTATCACTAAGGCCTTCTTTGTTGAGTCCATTTGGTGATTTTTTCTTTCATTTCTGTGGCTGAAAAAAAACAGAAAAGAAACATAAGAATCTTTGTAAATAGTATTTAGTATTAATAAATCTGATAGGGAATAGGTTAATATATCTAGGTCGAATGTACATCTCAAATACAGGCAAGTCAACAATAATCCATACAGGTAGTAAGGTTTAATTGTGTACTGAAACAGAATAAAAACTTGATATCAGAAGTAAGTTTTACTGTGTACTGAAACAGTAAGAAATCTTGGTATCAGAAGTAAGGTTTTACTGTGTACTGAAACAGAATGAAATCTTGATATCAGAGGTAAGTTTTTATTATGCATTGAAAGGGAACAAAAAATTTGACATCAGAAGTAAGTTTTTATTATGCATTGAAAGGGAACAAAAAATTTGACATCAGAAGTAAGTTTTTTCTCTGTACTGAAAGAGAACAAAAACTTTGATATCAAAAGTGAGTTTTACTGTGTACAGAACTAGATAGCTTTGTCATTGTGAGGATGTAAAGTACTGACCAGGCAGAAGTTGTTCTTCAGTAAGTGGCTGACGGTTGAAGGGATCAGTCTGAGAGTTGAGGAGATGTCTCATAATGATTCCTCGCTCCATTATGGCACCGCTTGGTAATATCACAGGGTCAACCATCAGTGTGTCCATTAGTGGATCTAAACAAGACAGGTACAAATATAATAAAAGGTTGTAGAAGGATTTTGGTGTTAGAAAAAGTAGAATGAAAGAAAGTAATTTATTGATGTCAAATGAAAGACACTGTACATGACAAGGTGCAATTTTAAGATAATACATGGTACCCACCATCATTTCATCTTTATCAGGCATTTAAAACTTGAATTTTTTCAATATTCCTCTTCTTTTTTTCTAAGCAATAAACATAGGCAATAACCCACAAAGGAAAATCCCTCAAGAAAAAGCAATAGCAAACTGAACTTGTACATCGGTCTCATAATGGACAATGTACAACATGGGACTAAGGAAAGCACACATTCTAAATTTGGGACTGATCTATGCAGCACTTTTTAAGAAACAGCAATAACATACCATTATTGCTAAAATCCAATATGGCAGCCTGCTGACAATTTTCCTTTCAACTATCCTAATAGAAAATGCACAAATATAGATCAAGCAAAGTCCTAAATCACATAGTAATAACAAACTTCATCTGTCAACAAAGTTCATAGGCTCACCTTTGCCCTTCAAACCAGTGACCTAAAATTTATCATTATTCAATACTAAAATGATATACCATCAAAAACAAATCTGTAAGAAATCAAATGAAATTACCCTTGAATTCATCTGGTATTTCACCATAATCAATTTCAGCCTCTCTCTTTTTCTGGACTAGTTTTTCAACTTTACTCTGCAATGACCTGAATCTCTCAATCTCATTATGAGTTTTAATGTTGGCTCGTGTCATACGAGCAATGGCATCATCGAACAGTTCCTTACGATATGACCTCTGTAAAATAAAAATTTCAATGAACCAACAAAATATTTTAAAGAGATCTTGTACCGATTCAATTTAATCACAAAATTATAAATTTTAGATTATCTGATTTCAATATAAATAATTTTCTGCAAAATTAATGTATGACAAAAGCTCCAGCTCTATTTTTCTGTCTATTTACTGTACATATATACACCTGGGAGCCTTATCAACTGATATTTCTCAAAGTGAAAATTTGTAATATTTTTTTCTGTTCTCACAGAAATTATGCCTGAACGTGTTCAAAAGGACTAAGCAACCTGAACAGTATTCCTTTTTTCATGGATAATAACTTACTAGACACAATTATTTTATGAAGGTTAAACGCCAAAGTAGGTCACAGTGACTTTAGGTACATGACTGTCCCATGGTGTTTTACCCCAAGCAAATGATAAAGAACTTACACAAAGCAGGATAGACATAAAAAATATCAAACCTCATCATCTGCTATAGCTTTGGCGAAGGCCTCACAGTCTAGGTGGAGATAGATGTCTGTAAGAGTGTTTAGTAACTTCCTTGGTACCCAGCCATACTTGTCTGGATTCTTAACTTTAAGGTTTTTACACTTTGATCCACACAGCTGCTGAAGGTTGAAATTCAGCATAGCAGCTAACCGGTCAGCTAGTTCCTGTAATTAGGAAAACATTGGTTAGAAGGTAATTTGTTCTTCATACAATAGACCAAAAGGGTCTGTACTGTTCAACTGTTCTGCAGCTATGGAAGGGAGACTTTGTTGGACGACATTACTCACACAACCAAGCCTAGCATGTTCCCTTTCAATGAAGCTACTAATCTAATTTGATTTCACTGCATCTATTGGTTATTCAGTGAAAGTTGTTTAAAGGAAAAAGGAACAGATTTCAGATGGACACAGAATACTGAATTCTTGCATAAACTTTCAGAATGTAAGCTTATACTTTAATGATAAAACCTATACTGTGTTTGAATCTGTTGCCTGGTTTACAATAAAGCCTGGGGAGAAGTTGTGATGAAGTTGAGATACTTTCATAATAAAACATGAGAACAGCCTTAAATAATACTTAAAAACCATGTATACAAATATTTAAGATGTTTACACAAGATAGACACACAAGTACACTCTATCATTTATTAAAACCCAAGTATGTGAATGGCCGAGCAAGTCATGATGAGCATGAAAAGAAACATGTTTATACCAGAGTGAGGAATGGTTCTTTGATTTTCTTTGTCAGATAATGAAACATGTCTACTGTTTCTGTAGCCAGTGTAAGATAGGATCGACACTGCCTTTCATCCATGGCTAACTGACGCTGCCGAGATTGCTGCTCCTCCTGTAAATCAAATCATTCTGTTACTGTTTTATTTTATTTTATTTGGTCATCTAAATCTGATACTATTTATACCCTAGCAGAATCAATTTTATCCCCAAATAATGCCAAAATATGGATTTATCATCAACACATTCCAGATAATACATTTTCTGAACACAAAGTTTTTATTCTATCTGAAGTCTAGGAAATATATCAATATATCCTTCATCCATTACAAATTAGTATCTTGACCCATACTACAAAAATTAACGACCTTCCAAAATTACCAATGTGTAAATGTACAAGGACCACATAAAAAATGTGTGACACATGAGCTGATGATTTATTTCGGGATTGAGTCATACTTTGGGTTGTTTGGCCCATTCCACTGCATTTTCCATGTCCTCCTGGACTTCATGGATCCTCTTTAAACAGTCCATACTCTCGTCCAACAGGAATGTTGTATCGTTCATCAACATGTTCACAAACTTCACGAAGTGTTTGCCATTCCTGAAATAAATAATCATTACATTAATTACAGTGGAACTCTTCTGATTATTGTGGTAAAGTATACTGAGAAACTATCACCACAGTTAAACTTAAGCGTTTAACAGGTTTGCTAAGAAAGAAAAAGTAACAGATAGTTGAAAATCAGAAGTAACACCTTCATGTTTATCTTGATGTATTTCAGAGCGAATTTAAAATGAAAATGACAAATTTATTGAAGTATGAAAAAAATATGGGCAAAATAATTACCTCATTACAATACACAGTATTTTTATTAAACAGCTTACAATAATTATTGTAAAGCAATAGCTTTATCAACTTGTAGACTTTCCCGCAAAATTTAAGGACAAAGATCAATACATGTACTATAAGAATATCATTCCATGAGAATAGAAATAAAGAACTGACAATCACCTCGCCTCATCAATCATTCTCTGCTGATGATTTGGAATGCTCCACATGGCCTTGAAAATGATGCTGAGATGATAACGAATTGTAAACTTGTCATAAAACTCACTGCTTGCCCCTGTTGTCTCAATTTCTATGGAAACGAAATGAAAATAATAACATTTTAATGAGTTCTGGCAAAATCTTGAGAGAAAATATCTGACCAAACTTCGTCAGAAACATTCAGATTCTTATTGTATCTGGTATATCCCTATCAAATCACCAGTAAAAGTGACGACTAGTAAACAGAATGTTTGTCTTCAATATATCTACATTTTCCCTAGAAATACTACAGAAAACATCAATAGCCTGTATGGATGTTCCTTTTTTATCTAACCTCAGTGACCATGAGAATCTTATAAGAATATTAAGTACTGTCATAATTTGAAAGCACTTTCCCATGCAAAAATAACAGTATGTTATTGCAGATTGTAAAATCTTAAGTTGTAACACATTTGATTCAAGATTTTGCAATAATAAAACCACAAAGAAATATAAATTTAAACTCAGCGAGAGAGAGAAGCGAATGTGTATTCTAAGAAGAGATTTTGTTTAGACTTTTAAATACTCCGTGGTAGGCTATGTAATGAGTACCTGTATAAAAGGTCATGAGAGCAGGCACTAGATGCTGGAGAGCTAGCGGGTGCATCAGGAGTCTAGTATGGAGGTTCACTGTCTGTTGCTGTATGGCTGGATTCATAACGAATATGACTTCAACAAGCTTGGCAGTAAGGTAAGGGTTGTTGATGTAACGAGTGCTACTACAGATCAATACCACCAATACGTGTATGATGCGCTCCGAGCATGGATCATCAAATATCTGTGGCACGAACCTGCGGGGAAACCGAACAATGACAGCATGGATCATCAAATATATAAAGAATGAACCTGCGGGAAACCAAACAATGACAGCATGGATCATCAAATATATAAAGAATAAACCTGCAGGGAAACCAAACAATGACAGCATGGATCATCAAATTTATAAAGAATGAACCTGCGGGGAAACTAAACAATGACAGTTTGGATCATCAAATATCAGAGGAATGAACCTGTGGGGAAACTGAAAAGATTCAGATTACCATGTGGCATTTACTAATAAAGCTTTTTATTTCTATATTCTTACAATGTTCTATTTCTGGTAATAATCAGTTAATCTTATATGTAGATCTTTTTATATTCTTTCTTGCTTGTATTTGGATTTGTTTTGTTGGACCAGAGACTCAAAAGGATTCCAACCTGACCTTCTTTAAATAATGAGACTACTCTTAATAATCACAACAGTAGCTTTGTTATGAAAATATGACATTCTTGTGAAAACATAAAAATATATGGAAATCCTTATTGGAAAATTCAGGTAAAAGAAATAAAACTGTACTAAAACAACAAAAGAATATCAACTTATTGACACAGTAACTTTGGGGTATCTATGGGTTATATCCCTGAAACCTTTCATCTCATGAATCCCTGGTAACATGTTCAGCTCAACTCACTTGTTCAAATAACAATTCCACATTTTGGAAAACAACATGGAAAAATCTTGAAAAAACAACTTGAAACCTTAACATTCATAATATCTATACTTTACATTTTAAACACAAAATTCTTGCTTAGACAAAAGAATTGCTTAATAAATGTATTTCCTGGTTCAACAATGAAAGTCTAACAAATTCAATGCAGAGATATACAATTCATTTCATAAAGTTGCAAGATGCAAACTGTATTCACAGATACTAAATGATTCAATATGCTTATTACATAAACCAAAGCTCATAAAACCACACTCAAGGATTCAAAGGAAAAAATAATCTATAGTCTCCAGCAATTGATTAAACAATTAATACTCAGAATACTTACTGAAGTGCAAAGAGAAGGAAATCTGCTATGTCCTCCAGATAGAAATCTGGAAGTGCTGAGAACTGCATTGGAATGTCGTCTGGTAGTGGCAATGTCATTCTAAAAACCAAAGTGACATGTATGTTAACTCTCTTAAGGAATTATCAAGTTGTAATGAAATCAATTATGACAATCAACAATTTAAATCAGACGGTGTAATGATAGGTAACAAGTGACTTGTATGTTAAATTTTTTAAGGAATTAATAAGTTATAATGAAATCAACTACAACAATTTAAATCAGATAGTATATTGAAAAGTAAAATAATTAATTCACTGTTATTTTCAATTAGTACTCCTATTACATTTATATTAGTTAATTAAAGTGTTTAACCCCTATTTATAAAATATCATCTGTACCCCCTGTTTTTTGGATCCATGGCTTTAAGTATATAATCTGCCAGTGTACTGTAGAACTCCAGGCAGTGCATCAGTAGACTTTCATCCAGTACGGCTGCATCAGCACACAGCTTGCTCTTTTGTAGTCTCTGTCGGGAAAGCAAGCAAAAAAATATCAGTCAACTGAATCGTACACTAAATATATATCAAATCAGTTTTCCATAAGCACTATTGTAAAATATCATTAATAAACATCTTGTTTCTGATAGACATTCTTAGTGATTACAAAGATCTTCAAGTCTCATCAAATATAAACATATTATAGTATTTATTAAGCCACTAAAACACCTATATCAATTTGGCCACCACACAGTTTTAGTAAAAATTTCAACAAATTGTCCCATCAATGTCTTGTAATAAGCCCATCTCTTTAATCTGCATTAGAGGTTGAATTGATCACCTGGGCTTTTTGAAGGATAAATATTTTTCAGTCAATCTAAAAATCTGTCAAAATCTAAATTGTCTTTCTGTTTTTTGACTTGAACTATGAAAATAAAACACTCATTATAAAATAACTCCACCTGTTGTCAGTCAAGGATTTAAAAATTTTGGAGATATATTATCATCAAATGGCATGTACTTTATAATTTTACAGTATCAAAGTGATGTCACAGTAAACAAATTTTTTATTGTGTTGTTTTTATTCTTATTGCATATATCTATGTCAAGTTTATCACCTCATGAAAAATGCCAGTGGTTTCAGTTGAAACATGCACATAAAGATGTTAATCTATGATTATAGAAGGAAAGTCTCTCACAGCTGATCAACAGTCTGTATATCTAAATTTTTGTATGGTATATGATAGCACATGCACACATCAACAACATCAGTATGGTTTCTGACCAGAAATGGTCAAAGTTGAAAAAAATGTGACAGTGTCTGTGTAAAAGTGAAGGATGGCCAAATGAACATAAGAAAGTCCCAGGATATCGCTGGGGAAGCTTCCTAAGGCAGATGGGAACTCTGATGAGAAAGCAATCAGGACAGTGCATGTATTGACTGACGGACTGATCAAAGGGAACTAGTTCAAAGCTTTGCATATTGTTTATTATATAAGTTTGGCTGGAGTAAGACTTTTACAGAAATGATGGCTATAGATGTCACTTTTTTCTTAATTCTGAAATAAATTTCAGTTATCAAACTACATCTACTCATCTATAACAAATTTGGGCACCGAAAGCCAGGTGTTAATGTATTGTGTCACAACATTTTTCTCTGCCATCACTTGTGTTTGCATATACAAATGAATTGCCTGATTTTCAAAACTGTCCCATGATGCTATCAGCTCTAAATCAGAGATTATTTTCCTGAATAAATCAAGTGGTCAACTTGATGTTCCTTCAAGTGATTAAAATCCTTGTATGTATTCTTCACCAATTCATATGTCCACAAACTATTAAACATATCAATAAAGTCAAGTGCTTACAAAATATGATTTTTTTGATAAACCACAAAATTTACAGTATGTCCCATCATGAAAAGCAAGTCCCTTAAACATAGAAGAAGAAAGCTGTACCTGGGCCTGGGATCTCCATTTCTTGAGGAGCTCTTTATTTCTTGAGGCGTTAGGGAGGACAGACCACTGAGGTTCAGCTGCTTCCATCTCCTCTACCATGCGATTGAGATCTCTTATTGCACGAAGACGTCTCTGATAGCGACGGGAGACTGGTATGATGGAGAGATGGTGACAATGGAGCGTGAGAAAGAAACATTCTGTTGGAAATTTTGGTTCTTGCCATGGTGGGTTCTTTTGAGATTCTGAAATGAAGACAATAAAAAAATGTGAATTTAAATGGCAATATACACCATGCACTGTTGGGTGATGAAAACTTCGGGAAAAATTAGTATCACCATGATTTGTTTTATTATATCTGGTGATCAGGATGTTGCTTCCCTATTTTCATTTTAAGAAAGTGAAGGCTAACATTCAGTTCATTCAAAGACTTAGCACCACATCAATCAATTCTGATTCATTTAACGAATTCCTGCTAAATAGTTTTACTTACGAAGACTTAGCACCACATCAACCAGCTATGGTTCATTTAACAGCTCCCTGCTAAATAGTTTTACTTACTAAGACTAAGTGCCCATTTGTCAGCATCATCTGGAAGTGATCGCAGTCTTGTCTCTGATTTTATACTAACTCTGGCATTGGGATGAAATAAATAGTAAACATCAACCTACAAATAAACAAAATACTTTATTTACTTGTAATTATGTAAACAGGTAAACAGCTACCACTAATAGTGCATTTCATAAATATGTTGTCACTACAAAAGTACATCTGTTATGCAAACGTTATCAGCAGCCCGTTGTTCACTTTACAGAAATCTCTGAAAGCTGGAAGTAGCAAAAGAAATTTCGTTAACAATAAAGTGTTGGAAATCATATTGATTCAAGTCCATACTGACTGATTACTGCTCATAACCTATGGTCTATTCTATGAAATTTGAACTGCTTGTATATAAGAAAGTCCTACTTACTTTATCTAAATTTATTTTCTTTGATAGTTTCTGAAGAATATACAGTAGGTTCAACATAAATCCATCTCCAGATACCAGTCGTTCATCAACCTAACAGAAAAGTCAGAATTTAAAACAGTTTTATCATTGAAAATTATCAAAAAACAGGTCCTGAAGCTCAAGTCAGATTCAACATGTACAAATAAATACATTTCATTTTTCATTAATCATTGATTATATAGATTTATTTGTAAAAGTCATTTTATTGAAATAATTACCAATAAAAATGCTTTTTTAATGAGTCCACACTTTTCGGTAACATTCAACACATCCAAACACTTTTAATGAGATGAACCCTTAAAATGTATTAACATTTGGAAAGTATTCCTTATAACAATTCAAATTTGAAGTTGTGAAATTTGCATGCAAAATGTGTAATATCAAATTTCCAAGTTTTTTGCTCCCTGGTGTTACCTGGATTTGTGATTTCTTGAGATTTCTCATTAAAGCTGTAGCTATGAAGTTAAGAGCAGCATCCCTGCTCTCTGAATTGAGGAGGATGTTGTGAAAGACTTTAAATAGTTCACTCTGAAACACAAATATATGTATAAGAAACGATGAAAAATATACAGAATTTTTAAGATCACTGAAACAATTTTGATTTATTTACAACTGACAGTAAGATGTTAATGATAGCCCATTGTGATGTAGGAGTAGTTAAATATTCCAACAGGACATTCATCTTGTTTTGAATATCCTAAAATAAAAAGGTGAAATCTTACGGAAATGAATATTGTATTCAGCTGGCAGCAAATCCATGCCTGGCAAGTATTCCAACGATCTCTATTGTTGTTCAGTAGAATTACTGGCAAGTGCTATTTCAGTGCTTTGCAATAAGTCTACCTCATGGCATCAATCATCCTCCATACATCAGGGGTTACAATCATTTCACTCTCTGCACCAATGGAACATGTCATGGCAAAATTGAAGGCATATGCGAAGTAATATGATTGGTTCCAGGAGGAAAAAAACTGACCAATCCCAGGCTGATGTGCTCCTTTTGAAGATTACAAAAGCATGACACCAAACCTCAAAGCCATTACAATATATCGTTATGTAACCTTGAGATTTATTTCATGTACATTCAAGAATCAAACTAGTCTTGTCCACAAGGTGTCACACATTGCCACGACAATGTGTCAGGGGTGCAGAGAATGAAATTAATCGTAATCCCTGGAACTTCAAGGATGAATATCAATAATGCATGCAGTATGTAAAAGAGCAAAACCCTTGTAGGTACCCAAAACTTCTCTGCAGAAAATTGAATCAAACATACCCGCACATACTCCATTCCATGTTGTAATGATTGGTGAATTAGTCTTGTGTTTTCTGGTGTGAGTTGATGTCCTGAAAAGTACTTCTCAACGACCTTGGTCTGAAAATCAAACAAGATATAACTTTTATTCAACAGTGACAATGTTTTACTTTTTCTCTTTTCCTCTATTCCAAAAAGAGTTCCAAGCAAAAACTAGCCTCTAATAAATGTACGTTTGGCATTAAATGACTTATACTCATCACACATATGAAATGTCAAATCAATTTGTTAACTGAACAACTCCTATATATTACTTGGTTGTATTTTCACTGATTTACAAGTTAGTCAAACTATCTAGAGGTAAATGGCAGGACAGTCACTGACTGTAGGATAACAATTGTGATGAACATTTCCTGTCAAAAAAATCCAACAGAAAGAAAAATTTCAAAATATAATTTTTATTTTACACATTGAATTGAGAAATTTGATATGTTTCTGCTTTTATTTATGACAAATCATCTACTGTTTACAACGTATTCAAAAAGTACTGATACATCAGTAAAAACCTATCGTTAGTCCTCATCAACTCACATTATCCTCAGCGAACACAGACAAGCCTAAGAATGGTCCCAACAGGGACAGTTTCTCTAACTCCATGCCTGAGGCTTGGGAGAGTGTCTCTGGAATCCAATTACACTGCTGGACAATCTATAGGAGACATGAGAATTGTATTATTGAACCAATAATTCAGGTGATTATCAGAGTTATGTTGTAGAGCAATTCAACAATAATTTGTAAACGGTACAATTGAAGACTAGATCCACTCAAATTTTCAAGTGTTCAGAAAATCATATTTTAGATGTTTTGTCTATAATTCTGTTTACCCCCATTTTTACTTCATTAATTAACAGATTCTGGACTAATACCATCTTGATACATACAATTTTAATAGAAAATGTACACAATTAAAAAACAGAACAGAAAACCCTTAAGTAATATGACTTCTTATTCCAGATAATAATCAGACAATAACAATGCTATATCAAGATATTCAAGAAAGTTAAATTGCAAAAAAATAACTAGGAGAAAAGTTACCAAGGTTTGGTGTTAGTGGTCCCTCCCTTATTTGTATTAAATACAGGATTACGTTTCTTAATAGATAGTATTTATCTGAATCATTTTTTCTCTAAATTCAAAAAAGGATCTCTTACCACAAACTTAAATCTTGTCACAAACAGCAGTTCGTAAGGGATTATAGTTATGTAGATTTACAACTTCTTTGAAATATTCAGATTTCCTGTCCAATCAAGTTACTTCAATATGACTCAGAAGACAACATTACCAATAACAATACAATTTTGGAATATTTTGTACTTTACCAGAGAACAAATTGGCCTCGAGTTGCCACTTTTCACTTCACATAACTCTGACAGCACTGTAAGTGGATCTCGATAGTCATCATTATCTAGAGATAAGGTCTGTATCAACCTTGTCAAACTCTGTATCACAGGGACAAACACCTGCAAACATAAACAACAAATATTTTCATATCGATGAGTATTTAGATTCAGAAAATAAATATCCACACCAATAAACCCACTTCATATTGATCTAAACTTGGTTTTACTTAACTGGGTTTGAAGCATGTTGTGTTTTAGAGGACTTGTATTTTGCCTTAAACAGGAGGCCTCACTCACATAATTAAACCAGAATTGTTTCATCAAAAGGAGAAGGCTTTTCAAGGCTCATATTTCACCCTCTCCCTCTACCTTCAGTTGGATTTAACCCACAGACATTGTTTTCATATGTAAAACTGAATCCCCTCCATCAATTGACACTTCTGACTAAATGGTCTTAATACTTTCATCCCAACAGAAGTATTTTAAAGTTCTTCTCCTAAGCTCTTCACTTATTTGCTACTGCCCCATTTAGAGTAAGACTCAACATTTATATGAAATAAAAGTTTACGACCCAACATTTATATAAAAAAAAATTGTATTCTCTTTACTCAATGACTCCTTGGTCATTCATCATATTGTGCCCAGTTCTTCTGGCCCCTGGGTGTCCAGTCCTGCTGTTCATAAAGAATATGCCCTCCCCAAAGGATGCTTATGACTAAATTATGTGGTATTAAGATCTCCTTTAGTTGTGTAACAATAAGTCAGCTAATCAATGTTTAGTTTCAGCTTTGCTTTGTTTCAGCTTTGCTATCAATAGCAATAGGTTGATGATTTTAAGTTGATCAAATAAAGTAATTTGGTTCAATCATCGTTTTTTGGGGGTTTTTTTTATAACTATTTAAAAATTACTACTTGAAAGTAAGATTTTTCACCAAGTTATTGCCAAATGTCTGCATAGTATTTCTTTATTTATGAAAGCCTCTTTGTGACCTCAATCAAGTTGAGAGACAGATGATGTGTTATGCCAATACTAGGTGGGCTAATCAATAGAACCTCGAGAGACATTTGCAATATAATTGCATGATTTTCCCTTTCTTTGAAATCAGTTCCAAAATCAAATACATACATCTAGAGGTCAATGTTTGCACATCTAGGGACAAAGGAAAAAATACATATCACAGATACAAACTTGAGAATTATATATGCAGAAATTCTCAATGCAAGACAGAAACAAAACAAATCATAACCGTCAAAGTCTATAAAGACTGTTTGTTAGCCAGTATTTACACAAAGGTACATTCTATATCAACATGATATTTTAATCAGTCTAAAAATACTTAACGCACAACCAGGGAAAAAACATCTGGAATGTACTAATATTGATAAATTCAGAACTTCTCAAGAAGTTGCAACAAGTTTGAAATCCAAGATGGTTATCTGTCTGTTGTTGATTTAAATGTTTATTAGGTATATCATCAATCTATCAATCCATATAAACACATTTACCAATCAGTGAACACTCATCATTTTGATACAGTGTAGTTGTACAAGTAATTAACATTTACTGAGGGCAGTAACCGCAGGTTCTTTACTAGAGCAGCTTACAGAAACCCCTATAATGGATTCAAAATTTGGATCAGGTAAATTAAAAAAATTGACAAACTGTAATAGTATCTGACCAATAAAATAAACAATGAATATTTGAATAAGTTAGACAACCATTTCTAAAATCAAACTTACCGTATTGAATGTATTTTTGTCATGGTAGGTTGTCTGAACCAGCTCGGACAGGAAACCTCGTGGCAGATTGTGTGAAAGAAGGTAGGGCAGGAGTATGGACATTCCGCCTATAGATCTACAAAAAACAAAAAATTAGAAGTTAGATACAAAACTCATCAAAACTCTTGCTGTTAAAAGGTTTTCCACTTGATGAGTTCCAAAACTTTCCTTTACCTAAAAACTAAACTTTTGCGGTTATCCAGAAGATCTAGATAATTCATAATTATTATCTGATGATTGATATTTCTTAAATATTTTTTTTGATATTGACTATTTGCTAACATCACCTGGGTTGAGTGAGGACTCCCTGAAGAACAAGCACTGTATGACGTACACACTGGCTCCTTGTTGTCGATAACATCACACTCATTGGTGGGATACTGGCTTTCTGTAAAATTCAACATAGACACAATTACTGACCAAAGACTTTATGTATATATCCAATAAACTTAGGGAGATAAAACTGTAAGTCTGATCAAGTGATTTACAACAGGGGTAATTCTACAGCATTAGATATGGGTGGGCTTACATATGGATAAATACATGATATTTCATGACTTCTGCCATTTTCTTGTCATTTTCAAGTTTTCAGTATATATATAGCACGGAGAGAAGTTTGATTTCAGAGGAAATATTCCTCTTTGGCCGTTTAAATTTTGATTTAATGTTGGAAATTTGTGGAAAGTATTACTATTACTAATGGTCTTTTAGTTGACCTTTCCCGTCCATATAACTGTATAACTTATTTTTTAAATCAAAATAAAGATGATGCATTACTGTTGAATGTTTGTTAATTTGTTTATATTGATTCTGCCTATTTCCAGTAGGGGGCTAAATGAAATCATTCAAGAGAGACTAAGAGAATATGCAGCAACACACATTTTAGCTTCATAGCATAACTTTATTGATCAAAGAAACTGTCTGTGATAAGAAATTTTCTGTGATAATCTGAAACTTCCATTATTGTCCATGCTATAATTAATTTATTTAATTAATACCATGTTTAAGTATGACATGTCTAACTACATGTGATATATTGATCCAATGTTTTGGTGACATGGCTTTCAACATGTGATATATTGATCCAATGTTTTGGTGACATGGCTTACAACATGTGATATATTGATCCAATGTTTTGGTGACATGGCTTACAACATGTGATATATTGATCCAATGTTTTGGTGACATGGCTTACAACATGTGATATATTGATCCAATGTTTTGGTGACATGGCTTACAACATGTGATATATTGATCCAATGTTTTGGTGACATGGCTTACAACATGTGATATATTGATCCAATGTTTTGGTGACATGGCTTACAACATGTGATATATTGATCCAATGTTTTGGTGTGACACTTGACATACAACTTGTGATATATTGACATTAACTCTAATTAGGAGTTTTACAACAAATTTTTGCCAGTATTCTATTGTGTTACTCACTATTGGAGCTGTTCTTTCCTCTATACCAGCCCGCTCATAGCAGTCAAGAAGGTAGTTGATCATGTCCACCTCCTTAATTTTCTCGGACGGGTATTTGGGAGAGAACTCTCTTTTTGGGAGTGGAGCTGCACCCAACTTCAAAGCTCTGCAATTGAAATGTTGAAATTTCAGAAGAAATGTTTGAAAATACTACATAAATATTTTACATCAATTTCAAAGTCTCCAACAGTTTTCATAAACAAACAACTGAACTCACTTTGCACATCATAGTTCTTTGAAAACCTATAACAGTGAATATAGATTGCTATCAGTCTGAATTAGTTCCAAGGTCTCTCATTCACAAAACATAAAATCAGTACTTTTTTACACATTACATACATTTACATATCATTTTGTTCCTTGATGCAATATAAAATGGTCACATGACCTTGACATCCAGCAAGTGAGATCCATAACCAGTGTGTCTAGACCAATAAGCTGTATAGCTTCAGTTCAGACAGGTACAAAATGGCTTGAAGTTGAAATGAAGCAGAAAATTTTACCCTTTAGGACTAGAGCCATGTTTGCGAGGAGACACAGAGGATTCTACAGGTGGGCGGAGTTTTAGTACAGGATTGTCTTTACTGTCTTTTATCTTCAGAAGGACCTCCATCAGAGTGTTGTTGACAAAATCTTTGTAATCAATGTCATCTGAAGAGATATTCAATACAAAAAATTATAAAAAACATAATTTTCTGAAAATTGATATCTGGCAAATTATTCTTCCATTAATATAATTATCAACAGAAGAAGTAGGCTGCTTTATTAGCATAGTAATTTTAAAGCAAAATGTAAAATACACTAAAATTTATGACACCCTGCCTCCTCCCTCCAATAACTCCCAAATTCCCAAGTTAATTAAAGTTTTTTCAATATGTAAACACTATAGCTAACTTGACAATTGTGTAAATTACCCATTTCTCAAAATTAACTCAAATACTGCATTTTTATCCCAAGAATACCACTCTTCCAATGAAAAGTTTCCATCCCAAAAATACACCCATACAAATATCAAATTTATGTAATCTATAAGGTGGGTTCAGAAGTTCATACTACAATGTAATTATATTCCATATTTCAATTGGATAGCAGTTGTGCTTTATGAAAACAGAGCTAAATGCAAAACATTTATGCAAGTCCAGTTTCTCAGCATCTCTTAATTTCAGAACGTTCTGCAACTCTACTTTTTAGTCTGCATTTAGCATTATCCATTAGTTTTGTATGTTTTCACATCAAAACTGATATAAAAATTATCTTTTCATTTAATTTCAAATGCAGTCACCATTTTTATCACAATAACTTAAATCATAATGGTCATCAACAGAAAATTCATTGCTGCCTCAACATTTAGCTGGTTTAAAATATTGGCTGGCAAATCAATTTTGTGTCTGGAAGTGGGATGCGCAATCGCAGTAAAAACACAAAAATTAATGGATAGTGCTAAAAGCTGACCAAGAAATAGGGCTTCAGAATGTTTACTTGCTGGACCATAAAATCTGGAAAATGATAGGATGTGTTGGTGTTAATTATCTAGCTTCATTCCAAGTTTGGTTAAAGTTTGGCTTATACTTTTCAAGCAACGGATCTAAATGAAAAACTTTAAATGTACATGTTGATGACAATGTCATCAGAAAAGTAACACCATTTAGTAAGTCCTGCTTCTGTGACTTTTCATTGCAGGCAAGACAAAAATACATAAATTATAAGGTTTTAAATTCAACATACCAGGTATCTACCATCAAACAATGGCTGCAATTCTAACCAAGATTTTTAAGAATTTCATTTCAAAATCAAAATGTTTTTCTGAATGGATATGGCATGAAACCATTAAAATATATTTTTGTTTTGGCAAGAAACAAGTCTTTAATACAATTACTCAACACACCACTTTCCTCCACACAACAGCTAATGTCAGGGATATGTAATGTCTCTGGATTTGCCTCCTTCCATGAAACCAAGAAGGTCCGACTGACAGCTGATAACATTTGATCTTTGGTAGCTTCTGATCCAATGCTGGTGTCCTGTAACCAATGAAAAAGTTTGGCCTCAATTCAGAAGAGTGTAAATGCATATTTGTATTCTCTAACTGGTATATATGTTTAGTAGTAAGTTACATGATGAATTAAATCACAAAAAGTAGTGAAAATGTTGATTCAATGATCTGCTTTGAACTTTTATGTTATCATGAGCATTGTTAATTAAGTTGAAAAGGCACCTACTGCTTGTGGTACTTAATGACTGTTCAATTGAATTTACTATCTCTGTTAAAAATGTGTATAAGACAAGTGTTAATGCTTTATGAAAATCCAGTGATATCAAAGCTAAAAATCAAGGATTATTCAACAATTTTTTGTGCCTGCATGGAAGTGTATCATATGTTAGGATAACTACGTACTGCTCAGTATATGTTAAACTCTGAAGCTGGTACAACAACAGCATCAGTGAACACAGTGGTCATAAAATTAAATCAACGGGCAATAATTCTGTAATTAAGAATCTACAGGCCCTGAATTTGGTATACTGGACATTTAGTATGACCAATGTTTACACCAAGTTTCAATAACTCCTAAATCATGCAACAGAGAGTTATGTTTTTTTATACATTGCACTTCTCCTTCTGGAGATCTATCTACCTATGAAGTTTCATGTTGATACCTCTTATAGTTTTTCTGATATGCTCTGAACAAAATTATGATGGACAGATGGACAGACGGACAGACAAATGAACAGGGGCAGATGAACAAAGCATGTTTCAGAAACAATAGATTACCCTTTTCCTTTTAACATCATATTTCATCTCTGTATCATCTACTTCCATGGGATTTTCTATGCCAGAATCGACATCCATTTGGGATTGAAAACTGCAACAAAACATGCAGAAAATTAATGTCAACAATACAAATAAAACTTCTTTACTAGTGATGACATGTCAAAACTTCCAGAGTACCAGTACATAACAAATCATAGCACATCTCTCTAGCACGTTTACAGAAATAAAATGCTTTCAGTGAATCCAGAACATCTGTACTAAAATCTTTTTTGTTTTCATCAAGAATGAAGTTAATGAGTTTTTGTATGAACTATCTTTAAAAATGAGTTGTTGTAGTAAGAGGCAAACTGTTCATGATTCCCATGTATTTTCAAAAGTCCATCAATCAAGTTTATCTTTATGTTTCTGTGTAGGTAACATGTATGAACAGCCTTCCTATTCTGAAAGACTTTATCCCTAACTTCTTGACCACTAGATATTTTACCCGACTACTTAACCACTGAATATTTTACCCTGACTACTTGACCACTAGATATTTTACCCTGACTTCTTGACCACTAGATATTTTACCCCTGACTTCTTGACCACTAAATATTTTACTTGACCACTTGACCACTATAGTCTGACAAGAATTACTTACTTTTTCTCAGAACATTCAGAGTCCATATCCATGCTTGGAGTGACTGGATCAACGTTCAAGCTACCTATAACAAATAAAATGCATTTACAATATAAATATTACAATCCTACAACCAAGTTCAACTAAAATGTGTGTAGTATATCTTAAATAAAACATTCCATTTTTTTTCATTCACCAATCAACAACATAACAGTGGATCTTTGTACAGGAGAACAGAGGATGTTGTTTGAGTAAAATTGTAAGTCATCACAACACCATTAACACTGTCTGACCTATTGTAAGAATTAACATATTTGACACCTAAATACTATAATGACCCAACTATGTTATTCAAAGCTTTCATACTCAACTTGATGTGATTAATAATCTGGCATACTCAACCTCATAGTATTTAAATGTAGTACACTGTTTAACATCAAATATACAATGGTATAAGCAGGTTTCAAACTGCAATATGCTAGAAATTATCTATGTTTTTTTTACTTATCTCCCGACCATAATGGATGAGTGACAGTAATTTCAAAATAATTTGTTTGATATGTTTACTTAAACATTTTTTTTGCCTTTTCCATTTTTTAATTGTTTTGGCTACAAAGTGAAAGAAGCATTGATTACTAGGTGGAGTCCTGGTAGGCTGAGTTTCCATAGATACACCTGGACTTCCACCACTGGCTCCTGGACTCAGACTTAAGGTTTGGGGCTGTCCTTGAGATCGTGAGGCACCATCTTGTGTTGATGGATTAGGTTGGCTACCTAACCTTGCCAAACGTCTTCTCCTTATCTACAAGCAATAAAAATGACTTTATTTTGATGAAGAGAAAGGGTTCTGCATCAGAATTTTATTGTCACTGAACAGTAATCTAATGACAATACAAATGAATACAGAATTATTTATTCCTATAATAACAAGAATGTGGGCATAATGAAATCAACAATTTTTACAAAGTTTTGACAGAGCATATCAGGACCTTTCCATCAATGGAAGATTTTTCAAAAATACAAGCAGGGGTGGAAGCATCAAATTTACAATTTTTAGTTTGTCATTGGCCATCAAATGGAACCTTTCTGCAAAATGTATTGAAATCAGTGCTGAGGTTGTAAAGAAGTCAGAAATGGTACAGCTGAGGACTGAAGGACAAAGATGGACCCAACATCTGTAGCACTACTTGAATAAATAAAGTGATTTATTACTGAATTTACTTTATCTCTTGCCAAGAAACTACTCAAAAATGTCTCAAAGCTACTTGAAATACCTGGTACCCAAAAACTACTCTGAAAGCATCTAAAACCATCCTTAACACCAAAATACAACCCCTAAAGCCTAAAAATTACCCAGAAAACAAATATTACACCACATCAAGACAAAGAAACAATCCTGGTCGTGGTGTCCCTTTATTAATATTGGGGAGATAACTCATCTGTTTTCACTATTCAAGATTCTGAATATTTGTTTTATAACAAAACAATCATCTCAGTTTCACATGAGATTGAGGATCATGTGAATTTTTTTGTTTTTTACTTCACCAGAGGCTTGATAGAATCCTTAATCTCAATAAATTGATTATCTGTATTATATGTAATATGTTCTGCAATATTCCTCCCTATTTGTGTCAGTTGTGTCAGTCCACTTGCAAACAGAATATCCATTTGACTTCTGAATTTGCTAATAATTCTAAAGTAAGACTTAGTTTAACTTTTTGAAAAAGTAAGGTGTGGCAAAGATGTGAACACTGCAGAACAAAAACCTTGTGTCATCTGTTCTACTGTGTGCATATCATTAGGCCAATGTGTTTATAGTGTGGAATAATTAATAGATCCATTTCTACTACCCATCTTACCATATGAACCATGTTTATGCTGTTTTCCTTTTCTAGGTGTTGATATTGGGTTGAGTTTTTTGGTAGTCTTGGGTGTTTTGGAGTAGTTTTTGGGTAGCTTATAGCACAGGTTAATTGTTCTGCCCTAAAAATTGAGTGTGCATGTATTTGTTTATCTTAAATGCTGTAATTTCGCAAGTATATAATAACTGTAAGAGGTGCAGATCTTAACTGTATCATGATCAGTGTCTGTCCATGTTATAACATGGGTAACTACAATGTATGCCAATGACTTGGCAAGGAAAACTGATAACATGGATTAATGAATTTGTTTTGGTGGACATGTCTCGCTGGTCCATCCATCAACTTATCTAACATCTGGTGTTTGAAATTGAAGCAAATGAAACACTAGAAATTTATGCCCACCAAAAACATATAATGGATGAAATGGCACTGGGTATTGCGATTATTAACGATGTCTTATATAGTTTCCACAATAATTCATTGTGTGCTTCAGAATCTGAGAAATCATACAACAGTACTCTTCTGAAAATCTATATCATACGTTATGACAGTTACTTTAATTTCCAAAAAAAATCCAGTATTCAATACCATGACTGCCACATGTATGTACTCAGTAACTGCATAAGAGGCTTTGTCCTTTTTCGCCGCTATGAACATTGCTTTGCATCTTCTAAAATTCGTAAGTTGCCAAGCAAGTCATCTCCGTTAATCTGACACATCAAAGCATGTATGTAAACAAACAAAGCAGGCTGAAAGGATCAACGCAAATTGGTGTTCAACTTAAATACTCACTTCGTCGGGCGTAAGTTCACTCATGATGTCTTTAAGCTGCAATATATATCTATAAACTAATTTTTGTGCAATCGAAGTATATCTTTAGCAATTTGTTTCATCTTACGACTTGAAATATATCATTTTCTTTCATTCATGAACTAAGAACTGCTTCTGCTGTCTCTCGCCTGCCATCATTCGTGACGTCATATCATACTTGACCCGGAAGTAGATTTTCGTAGTCTTGGGGAAATTGGAGTCATTCAAAAGTTTGCAAATATCGTGTGAAGAGGTGATATTTTTCAAGCTTTATTGTAATGAAGATTCACGACAAGGTGTGTGTTGGCAATATATCTTAATGCCGATAGGTTGCAACGTGCATTTGATGAAAATAATGTAAGTATATAAGTGTGCATTTAAATTATGATATTCAGTTAACGTCACAAATAAAGCATTCGCTGTAAAGTTACCCAAGTTTGGAAAGAATCAGTCTTTGAAGATAAAAAGGGAAAAAAAATGCGTGACGTGACACTGACAGCAGTACACACTGTGGATGCAGACGGTGTATGATACATTTACTGTATGTTCACAAGGTTACACAAGAGAGAAATTTCCTTTCTTTTGATATCCAGGGCATCCTCAAATTCAGTGGATGGTGAAAATATTTAAACTTAACAACACATTCGTGTTGCATTAAGTCAGTTCCACTTTCAGTTAGTCAAGTAAATTTTATTTTTAGTCGGTATATATATATACACCAATAGACACAAGCAAAAGACTTCAAAACATGCGTCAAAATAATATACGAGTACCTACAAACAATTATTAGAAGGTATTGGTAAATTGAAAATAAAATGCATAAAAATGTGGCGAGAAGTTGAACATATCAGTGATTACACACGATACAATAAGGATATAATATATAAACAGGAATAATCAGAACAATTTTAACAAAAGAATGAATTAAGCAAAACCAATACTTATACTACAGGTGTAACAAATCTGCAAAAATAGTACATAAATACATTTTTTGTTTTAACTAAAGACTTGTTAGGTCTCTCTATTGATATTTAAAAATAGCTTTAACTATTATCATTCAAATTCACTGACTGACGTATTACTGTTGTACACTATATTTGAAAACATAAATAAATAAAAAATAACAACATAACACAATAAAATGTGATCTATTGTTACAGTAAAATCATTCACAGATAAGAGATTTCATTTCTATACTGTACTCACCTGAATATTTCTGACCCTTAGCACAATATTTCATTGTTATAAATCACTGTTAGAGGAAGATGTGTTGACTGTGGTTCCAAGACGTGTTGACTGCTGTTCCAAGACGTGTTGACTGCTGTTCCAAGACGTGTTGACTGCGGTTCCAAGATGTGTTGACTGCTGTTCCAAGATGTGTTGACTGCTTTTCCAAGTTATGTTGATTGCTGTTACAAGACATGTTGACTGCTTTACCAAGAGGCACAGTTTTCCATAATTTTGTTAGTAGTAGACAGTGTAGTGAAAGTAAGAGGCTGGCCTGCTGTGTACGTGTAGTCGTGTACGGAACATTATTACGGAACTGGATTGGTGTAGACAGCCAAATGATGAAAGTAGCCGGTCAAATTGGCCGGCGACCGACTCTTATAGAAAACCCTGAAGACGTGTTGATTGCTGTTAAAAGATGTGTTAACTGCTGGTCCAAGATGCAGTATTTTGAAAATCATACAGGTTATCAACTAGAACAAGGCCAAAGTAACACAAGTGGACTAACAAATACCAGTCATTAATTATATAATGGAATATGGTTAGATGAGAAACGTGAGATTGTTTTATTGATCATCAGGAGTTTTATATTATTTATTAGAAGAAGTCAAGCAATTTGTTGTCATATCTCCCATTTATATTGAGTTATATACTGAAAGAGATCAACCATTGTTTTACTGTAAGAAATCTATTTTCCATGGACATTCTCCAAGAACATTTTTACAGTGTGCAGTTCTTCAGTTTCATATACAATTCCATTTTTTTCATTATTTTCATGCATGTCACATTATAGCTACAAAAAATAACAATATTACAACTCAGCTGACCAGTGGAAGCAACTTGTAAGTTCCATACTGTTTATCACCCAATGTGACACATATTGTAATAGGAACAGGTTAATGTAGCTTGTATATAGTGTTAAGTACAGTCTCTGTCATTCAGCTCACAGTACATGCTTCTTTGGCTAGTTAGTTGAGCCAATCAATTATAACACCAGAGACTCAATTTTGATTCCTGACATGGACACTTGATGTGGAACCTCAATAATCAGAGTTGTTGCCCTTTGACCATTGCTAGACACATATTCTGGGACTTTCCTTGGAGACAATGTTACTTATATATCAATTACTGGGTATTTAATGGGAGTTTTCATCTTGTTTTGCGGGAAATCCAGAAAGTCATAATAATTTGATTGACAGTTCAGTTGTCAAGAGAAAGCAATTTTAAGTCATTTTTCCAGATTCAATCAGATAAATTTATGGTTACCATATTAAATCTGATGTAGGATAATTCACAGTGACAGACTATGTCTAACCAATATTTTGGCATAGAAATGAATGTTTATATATGGTCAGATCATTTGAAGATGTGAAAGTATCCTCTTTTAAGCATTCTCTGCACCCCTGGGATATTTCATGACAAAGTTGAAGGCACAACCAAAGTGATTTGATTGGTCTAGAGAAGGTTTCAGGAGAAATAAAAGTGACCAATCACAGAGAGATATGCATTGAAGATGGACACTCAACTTCAAAGCCAGTACATCATACTGTTGTGTGATCTCATGATTTGTTTGATGTACACCAATTGATCAAACAAATCTTCTCATTTTATCCATGTCCCACATGGAACCTTTAATATTGCCATGAAATGTTCAAGGGAATGAAACCCCTTCATCACCCACAATCGAGGATGCATTTTAAGAGGTAATGCTATTTACTTCTCATTCAGTATTTTTAATGTCTGGAACGTAACATGAATTGATCGTTCTACTTTTCTTTCTGTTCCAGATATATCAGTGATGTAGTGGTTTGCAGGGAAGGCTTGGTTCCAGTCTTGGTGACCAATATAATTCTACAAACGGTTGTAAGCAACAAAAGGGGAACAACTCAGGAGTCGCAGAATTGTTATAAGTAACTTTTGGAGAAGTCAGTAGACGTTCTGTTCTCAAAAACACTCATTCTGACCCATTCATGCGAAAAAAACATCAGACTAGATGCTGTGAGAAAAGGTTTTTACAATTTTAACGATGAACATGTCTGACAATGGAGGCAATGATCCGTCATCGCCCGTACAACACAATCACATTGATATGTCCCTTGACATAGTAAAGATACAGCCTGCTACGAAACATGTAGTACACCAAACTTCAGAGGAGAAACAAGGAATCCTGAATGCTAGAGCCTTCCTCTTCCTTGTCCTGTGGTACATCTTTAGTGCCTGCACTCTCTTCCTGAACAAATATATACTTGCCACACTTCGAGGAGATCCAGCACTGCTAGGTAATCACTAACTATCTAATCAAGAGTCTTCCTCTTAAATATGTCATTCTGAAGCTGAATTGTTCTTCTGTTTGGCTTTTGGTATAGAATTTCACCCTTTGATTGATTTTGATAAATGTATATATTGTCTCACAAATTTAACTATATGGTGCCCTGGTCTACTTTTTTCTTACTAATTATCTTTTCATGTTTTATTCATTTTTATACTTCTGCCATAAAATCGGTGGATATATAACATTGCCATGTCCATTCTGTCCCGATCCTGTTTCGTCCCAGCCCATCCTGTCCTGTCTATATATATAAACCATCACCTAATTTAATTTAATCACTTCTGAGCAACTTAATTCTTTTATAGCATTTGGTCGAACTTGATGCAAAAATCAAATATGAGTATATGTTGGGATTATTGTGTTTCAAGGGTCAAAGGTCAAGGCCTTGCCAGTGGGGCCATATGTGTCTTACAGACATTTCCACTTTTTTCCTTACATTTAGACATGGAAGGAAAGAAGGAATCATAACGTCCAATGCTTTATGAATGTGTACATTACAATACTACCGGTATATAGTTGTTGATAGTGATTAACAGATAGAAATCCATTATTTTATTATTTAACATGACATGATGATCAATTGTAATTTTTCACTGTCAATCATAGGCACCTTAATATTATCTTATGTTTTAGCAAAAATGGAATTCATATTATACAGAACAGAATGAAAAATATGTGAACTTTTAATGAATATTGAACATACGGTCAGCCAATTATGTAACTGATTAACTACATCCAAAATCCAATCCAATTTCAACTGATAATCAATTATGCATTTTAATCGATTTCCTGTTACTTATTCTTGATATTCGAGGGAGATTTAATTTAGAACATTTCTACAGAAAATATCTGTTAGGCTTGTATATATGGACACTGTGGGGGTAATATTAACCATGTGAAACAAATAAACTGTATTTAAAGTGGAGGATTATTCTCTTGAATGTTTTGAGCGTAAAAGGAGCAGGTCAGTGAGGTTTGTACATAGTGTTAAATATGGCCGCTGTAACTCTGTAACTGATCGAGCATGGTTCTTCAGCTCAAGTGGTAGATTATCACACTTGAGACCAGGGTTTGATGCCTGTTTTCCCCTGATTTTTCACATCAGCATTATCTTATTCAGAATTACCAGAACCTTCTTGTTCATTTTCTTATTTTTACTTAAATGCTATTCTTTTAGATACTGTGAAAATCCATTAAATGATTACTTCACATTCATATAATCTATATACATTAAAAATTTTAATTCCAAACTTATTGTTTTTTTTTTTGAAATATGGAATGTTATTTTCTTGTTAAATTTCTATAAGCTGACAAGCATAAGATTTCCTGGTCACATGTGTTATGAATTAAGTGTATTTGGTTTTACTAAGTGAACAAATGTAAAAGATGTCCTACTGACATAACTATACTATAACTCAGAACCAGCATTTTCAGAGACTTTAACACATTCTCTGTATTTCCCTTCGCAGGAGCTATGCAGATGGTGATGACCACAGTTTGTGGGTTTCTTCAGATGTACTTACCACTCGGATTCTACAAACCAGTCGAGAGAGATGGAAAACCACCAAACTTTTGGAGGAATATGATATTAGTTGGAACCATGAGGTACACAGGTTAAATAGGTGTTGCAAATTTAAGGAAGAGATTGTCTGTTTAGTTAGATTGACTAGTGATCCCTGCAGATTTGTCTTACTCAGACTTTGATCAAACTTACAATGTTTATATGGAAATAAGTCTATGCCATGTCATAACCTGTCTTAGACTGTTACTTTTCAATATAATAATCCAATAATTACAATATCATTTTGGTAATCTATCATGTTAGATTTACTTTGAAACATTATATACTACAAATCCAGTTTTTAACACTTGGATTGTACTAGTCAATTAAAAAACAGAGTCACTTATAAGTTTTTGACTGAAAGGCGTTACTTATGAAAAAATTAACTAAATTTATATTTTGGGCTTCATACATTTAGTGTATGAACATAAATGGGTGACTGCAATAGCCTTGGTGGTAGATCATCAAATGTTTCAACCTCAGGGAAGATCTGAGGTGTGTGGTTGGATCACTACCCAGAGTGGTTTGTGTGTCTCGCGAGAAGATCTAAAGTGCATGGTTCAATCCCTACCCATGGCAGTTTGTGTGTCTTAAGTGAAGATATGAGCTGTGTAGTTTGATCACTACCCAGAGTGGTTTGTGTGTCTCGCGAGAAGATCTAAAGTGCATGGTTCAATCCCTACCCATGGCAGTTTGTGTGTCTTAAGTGAAGATATGATCTGTGTAGTTTGATCACTACCCAGAGTGGTTTGTGCGTCTCGCGAGAAGATCTAAAGTGCATGGTTCAATCCCTACCCAGGGCATCATTTTGTGTGTGTTGATCAATCCCTACGCAGGGTGATGTGTGTGTCTCATGTGAAGATCTAAAGTGTGTGTTCAATCCCTACCCAGGGCATCATTTTGTGTGTGTTGATCAATCCCTACACAGGGTGATGTGTGTGTCTCATGTGAAGATCTAAAGTGTGTGTTCAATCCCTACCCAGGGCATCTTTTTGTGTGTGTTGATCAATCCCTACGCAGGGTGATGTGTGTGTCTCATGTGAAGATCTAAAGTGTGTGTTCAATCCCTACCAAGGGCATCTTTTCAAATAAATCAGTGATAATAAATAATGTTACGTTCATCTTTTGCTCTTCAGATTTTCCACAGTAGTTCTGGGACTTGTGGCTCTCAAGTTTGTGGCTGTGTCATTTACGGAGACAGTGAAGAGTTCGGCTCCATTATTTACAGTGGCAATATCTTGGATGTTGATCGGAGAATACACTGGGGTTTATACATTCCTCTCCCTCATCCCAATCATGGCAGGACTTGCCTTGTGTTCAGCGTATGAACTCAGCTTTAACATACAAGGATTCATAGCAGCATTGGCTACAAATTTAACAGAATGGTACGTCTTGGTGATCATAGATACTTTAAATCTAACCAATCGAAATATAATGGTACATCTTCGTGATTTTAAATACTGTATAAGTAACCAATCAAAAGAATGATATGTCTTGGTGATCATAGATTGTGTGAACCTAACCAATCAAATGATTGTACATCTTGGTGAACGTAGAAGGTAGATTTAACAGATCATAGAATGGTATGTAATACTAGACTTCATGGTGATTGTAGAAACTATAGCTGTGAAATAATTATACATCTCAGGAGTTACAGAAACTAAATTCACCAATCAAAAAAAAACAGTATGATTTGATGGTTGTAGAAACTGTAAATCTAACTTAGCAAAATTAATGACTTGTCTCAATGAGATGGTATGTTTTATCACTGAAAAGTCTATGTACAAACTGTAAATCAACAAGAGTGTACAACATAGAAAAGTGACTTCTCCAGACTGGATTCTAGACAGTTTATTCCACTCTTCTTTACATATGGTTACCAAGATACTTGACACTCCAGGGGTTACGACCACTGTCACTCTCTGCACCCCTTGAACATGTCGGGCACAATTCAAGGTTCCACGTGCAACACCTTGTGGACAAGACTAAAAGGATTTTACAGGAGTAGTCCTAAACAGGCTTATCATATATATAGTTGAGAATATTTTCAGAAAAATTAACAACAAACACTGTCATTTGTGTAATAGATTCGATCAACAATATAAAATATGATTGTAGACCTTACCTGTATATGACATGGTACTTACCTCCTTTTACAAGAAAGAAAGAAATTGATCTTTTTCTAATCTGCTGTTTTATTTTTTCTGTTTCAGTCTACAAAATGTTTATTCCAAATTACTTATAAGTGGGGAAAAATATAGATACACGTAAGTAATACACCTTTTATTTTTGCTAAAGCTATGTAGATTATTTGCAAATTCATGATATGTATACTTACCATAGTCTTAGGATATTTTATGGATGTTTTGAAATAGAGTTTTGTTTTTAATCATATAAATATTTTAGGACAACAAAGACAGATAGCTTTAGTGACATGGTTGTCTTATCTCCTTGACTTGAAATTTAAACAATTTTTTAAGATCTGGAATGTTATTTGACCCCACATGGTATATACATTTTAGTATATATGAAAAAGAAATTAATCACAACATATGTACGCATTGCCTGTAGATGGTTGTTTAACACATCTAATAGTTTTACCTCTGTGGCAGAAGTTTCATCAGTATAAATTTTGCTATTGAGTACCCCCGTAATTACTCTGCAATAAAGGCGAAACAAGTTAACAAATATAACACCCACCTTTAGGTAATGAATGAGTATGTTGTGATTAATTTCCTCTTTGTATATACTGTGTAGTTTTTGTTTAATCTCTCTGCATACATTTTGGTATCAATACCCATCACAACGTACCCCACTTAAAACCTATTTACACCTGACGTTAGCTCATCCCCCTTTTTTTTGAAGTATATATGTTTTGTAATATCTATGATCTATCAAGTTTTCATTCAGCTAAAATGTACTGCTTGAATTCAATTGTTTAAATTATGTGTTGTGCGTCATTGGTGATCGGTTATCATCATGTAGTTTGTTGAGAAGTGTACAAAGTGATACTTTAAAACCTGTCCTACTAGTTTTCTGATATCTGCTTTAGGACAGTAATTTTCCAATACCTAGTACTATGGTAACCATCTAATTGCTATCAAAGTAGACGGATGAGGCCAAATAAATGAGATATATATCCCTTCTGTAGTCTGTAAATCTGGCATCAAAATATTCCTGATTGTATTTTGTTTTCTGTTTTCAGCCCAGCAGAGTTACAGTTCTACACAAGCATTTCATCAATAATTGTACAAATTCCAGCCTGTTTCTTTCTGATAGACCTGCCAAATGCACAGAAAACATTAGACTTTACCATGTTGTTTGTGCTTATCATAAATGGCACATTTTTTCATTTCCAAAGTATATCAGCATATGTGTTAATGGGATATATTTCACCTGTCACTCACAGGTAAGTATTACTTATATATACATATCAAAGTATATCATGATATAAAATTCCATGTTATACAAAATTTAATTTACTCAATAGAGTTTTTAGGCCACAATCATCAGATGGACTATTCCATTAACTCTCTATTTTGGGACTCACTGAGTAAAAAAAATGGCATACAAGTAGTCATACAGGATTTGGATTCTATTAGAATGGTATTGTTGTGTTTCATTAATATAGCTTCTCCATGATCCCTAGTTGTGCATTGACAGATAAAAAGATGGGTGTCTGTCCCCCTGGATCTCTTATGCATTTTAGCAAGCATCTGAAAATAGAAATGTGATGCTTATGACAACTTTCGTAAGTCTAGTATAAAGTAGAACCTTTTAAGGTCCTTTTATATATATATATTATATATCCATTAAATATTGATATTCAAATATTTTTTATTTAAATCATTGTCTTAAAAGAGTTTGTATTACATCCATTTCCACAGTGTGGCAAATACAGTGAAGCGTGCTTTCCTGATCTGGATATCTGTGATATTGTTTAGCAATCCTGTGACATTCCTTAGTGGACTTGGCACCTGTGTGGTCACCATTGGAGTTCTTCTGTACACAAAGGCCAAGGAGTATGACCAAAACCTTCACAATATTAAACAACATTACAGACCTACGCCATCACTGATGGGCGACGCTAAGGAAATTTAAACAACTACAATATTATATTTTTCATCATGATTAATAGCATTTCAGTATAACTGGGTAGAATATAAATTACTACTGGGCCTGGATGTTTTACTAATATATTTTTATGTACAATGGAATCATGTATGGATGTTTTTCAAAAAACATACATGTAGGTTTTTGTCCTGAAAAGTTATTTTTTAATTTTTCTCTTTTTTTTTTCTCGTAGTTATTGGCTTAATATTTCCACACAACATTTGTACAATACTCCTCATTTTCAAAGAAAAAATTGTTTGGACCATTAGTCAATATTATAATGATTTCCAATATAACTAGACTTTCAGTGATAAAAACATGCAAAACTATTGAATTAACAGGTTTATGTGGCTGAGCTTTCTAAGTATGTACACATAAATAAGTCTTTTTGTCTGTTTTTATTCTAGATTTTTTTTTGAAATATATTAAATGTTGAAGATTTGACAACTGGTTTTATCTTGTTTCTGAAAATACTCAGTTTTACTTAATTTATGGTTTTTCCAAGCAAAGAGAAGCATATCATCTTAAATGATAACTAAAACATAACAGTAAAAGAAATTAAAACAAATTAATTAAAATGTTTTTTTTAGGAATTATTAAATTGTTCCAAAATATCACCATGTATAATAGACCAAATGATATCAAATTGACTCTATTTTCTGAACAACTTTTAGATCCTTTGTGACAGCTCTTACAGAAAGTTTGTCACACATCACAGCTGCAAAACAGAAATGACAGTATTCCAGTTTTATGTAGCACTTCTATGTAAATTTTTTTTTCTCAGGACCAGGCCCCAGTTTCATGAATCTTCCTTAATTTGAATTGTCCCTAGAAAAGCATGACATCAGTTAAAGAAATATCCTGAAATTTAATTTTTTTTTTTCCTTAACCCAAGTAATGCTTTACTATGATAGTTAAGATTTCCACAAGTTACTGAAAATTCATAAAACTGGGGTCAGGTACCATTTTGAGTAAATTAGATTCCATTATTTTGACCAATCAAACCATCTAACTTTCATGAAAAAGATACACTGCTTATCTAGTTTCAAAAATGAGAAATAATTTGGGGAGAAAATGCTTTTTAGAAAAATAGAGATACTTTTTAATTCACTGAATTACAAATATTCTAAGGGCCTTTAAACAGAAAACGTGTTAATGTCAGAATTTGTTATAATTTGATCACTATTTTCTTTAATGGGACCCCTCAATAGCATTTTTTTCAATGTGTTGTATAATCTGCTCCATGGACCAAACTTACGTCATATAATCATAGATTTTGAAAATTATCAGTAGGTAGGTTGTTTCTACTTGAACAAATCTATATATGATGATATTTAACAATATTTATAGAATTATAGACTAGTTAGCAATGTCTAACTAGTCATACTTATGTCTATATCTGATTTATGTTGCTATGGTGATGATATTTCTAGTATAAATTGACTAATTAGCTCCCTTTAATTGGTTAAAGTTATGGCTATCAATGATACTGTTGTCATGGTAATGATATCTATACACTAAATGGACAAGTTAGCACTCTTTAAATAGTTACAATTATGGCTATAAATGATAAGGTTGCTATGGTAATAACATTTATAGAATTAATGGACTTATTAGCACTCTTTAACTAGGTATAGTTGTGGCTATAAATGATAAGGTTGCTATGGTAATAACATTTATAGAATTAATGGACTTATTAGCACTCTTTAACTAGGTATAGTTGTGGCTATAAATGATTAGGTTGCCATGGTAATACTTGTTTCTGATGTTGAGACTTAACAAATCAATAGATTTAGAATATATGTTGGGCATCTGACAGCAAGCAAATTTTGTAATGGGTTAATGGGTATGGAAAATTACATTTCATGGATACATATATTCCATGCATTAAACAAAATTGTTGTTTTACTATACAGAAATACAAAACTAGAAGTCTGAATTGGGTTTTAAAAATTGAATTGGTTTTAAGTGTCTCGGTTTTAAAAAATCTTCTATTAATTTTGTAGATAATTATTTCTGAATGTATTTTGATTTATATATACATATTTCCCCGCTTAGGTTTAGAAAAGGAAAGTTTCTACAATATGGTGACTGTCAAGTGGCATGCTTTTTGTGATCTGCTATTTTGTGTTTTATGATGCAGAGTTATCGGCTCTTTTGTGCAGAAATTGGTAGTTGAATTATTAGTTTTCTTGAGAAAATTACGTCATTTTCTCATAAACAAATGATAAAACAATCAATATCTGCTCCCAAGAGCAGATAACTCTGCATTAGGATAAGATGCAATATGCTTTGTGGTAAATACTGTTTATGCTTTGTGCTCAACACTTTTTTCTGCTAATTGCTTGTTTTGTAAGGATGAAAAGATCTCAACAAAAAAGTAACAAACACTCTGTGACATGCTCAATGAAGATCAACAATGTCTTTTAAGTTGTTTGCAATTTTAAATGGGATGGAGTTATTGTTAGGCAGCACCTGAGAGGCTGGTGTGAGGTACACCATTTCTCAGATCTTGTCAGTGTTTTTGTGTTGTAGCCAAATTCTTTGTTTATTTTCTGGAAGTGTTCTGTAGGAGTCAATCTGTTATATATTTTTCAAAACGATACAATGCTGCTAAAACATGGTTGAATGTAATTATTTATTGCAAACTATTGCTTTAAACAGAGGCATATTGTTAATGTCAAGTGTCTCCTGTTGTTTCTAGACTTGTGTTCATAGAAGTAGTGTCACACAAAAAAAAAAAAAAAAAATAGATAAAAAAAAATGAAAATATATTAAAAAAATAAAATAGATTAAAGAAATAAAATTTAAAAGTTCTGATCTTTAACACTTGTAATTAAAGATGTAGATCCATATCATAGCAGTAGAAAAATAGTTGGTATATAGGTATATTGAAAGTAGACTTGATGAACAAAGTTCAGGGAACCAGTAGAATGTGTTCAATAACCTTCCACATTTGTTAGCGATAACATTAATCATTATTTAATCACAGTTACCGTAATGTTAAAGTACCTAGATGTAAGTGCCTTTTTTTTTTGTTAGACATTAAACATGGACTCTGTTTTAATGAGATGTTAAAAATTGCATTTGAAAGGTGATTATCATTTAGATGATGTATCTATAGATGTGCTTTTAGAACATTGTAATACAATTGTTCTTGTCCAAACTCAGTTCAATGTTGATTAATGAGTTTCATTATTTTTATGACATGTATTGTTATTGTGTAATTGAGTGATTTGAATTTTGAAAATTTTGTTTTGTTGTTTTTTTCAATCTATGTATAAAAGTACATTTCTGAATTCTAAGTAACTGTACTTGGTGGATTGTATCCTGGAGTGTTCTACAGGGCTATATGGTATTACATTTACTTTGAGTTTCAGTAAACACTTAATTTTTATGCTCTCCGAAGGGGGATCATAAAGTTGCTGCTTTGTCAGTCTGTCCATCCGTTTGTCTGTCTGCCTGTCCGTTATAATTCTGTCTGGAGCATATCGCAATTACTGTTAGGGGTATCAACACAAAACTTCGTAGATAGATAGATCTTGATAATGAGAAGTGCAGTGTACAAGAACTATAACTCTCTTTTGCATGATCTAGGAGTTATTGAAACTTGGTGTATACATTGGTCATACTAAGAGAATGTGCAGTATACCAAATTCAGGGCTCCAACTTCTTAAATACAGCATTATGACCCTTTGATTAAATTTTGTGACCAAAAGAGTCGTTTTCAGGGAGCATTCATCAGTTTCACTGATACTTTGTTTGTCTTAAGCAAGAAAAGTTTATAAATGGACAAATGGACTTTTCAGCCAATGACATTCAATCATATGACATGTTACCAGGTTTTTATGTTAATTCATGTACATTTTAATGATGTTCTCATTGAAATTTTGTCATATCATTTACTTAAAGTACACAAGTCTTTCCATATATATTTAAACTCTCTTTGTACCCCTATTCAATATTAGAAAATGCCCTTTGTTTACACTAACATAATTACAAAAATGTTTTGTTACAATATAATGGAAGGAAAAAAGTTTGTCTGTAATGAAAGTTGTTCTCTGAGAGTTACAAACATGTTTCATTTCTCTGATCATAGAATATATTCTGCATTTAATTTTAATAACACTTTAAAAGATAAATGTTGTCTTAGGGGGAAATGCAGGATTTATAGTCACAATTGGTTTATGATAAAAGTCTGATGGAATGGTATGTGACTGTAATGAAGAATATGTTAGCTGCGGAGCTTAAACATAATTGTACATGTAATGAGATTAAAGACTTTATTTTGTGATGCTGATTGTTTGGCAGTGAATCAGTATTAATTCATGAAACAAGATATACAGTGTTTAAGTTTTAATTAATAACATATGCAAAAATTGTGAAATTTTAAAAAAATGACACATTGGAGGTGAAGTTAAAGAAAAAATAATGCACCAGAAATTTGTGATATTAATTCACTTATTGATGATTTTTTTAATTGGACGAGTTATCTCCCTTGAATCTTTAAAAACTGCATTCATCCTTTCAAATATGTTTTTAGGAAGTTCAAATCCATGACAGAGGTTTATAGCATGACATAAAAAGTTGATGAAGCATCTTACATGGTGATTAAAACTTGGAAAGTATATGCCACTCTTTGGTATTCCCAGACTGACAAACAAAGGCATTATACATGTTCATGAATACAAATCCTTGTTTGTTCCCACTGGAACAAGATATTTAATTCTAAGGTAGCATACAGCCTTAAACAGTATATCTATTAAGCCTGAGTATTGCCAGAGACTGCTCTCTTGTATGGTTTATGTTGGTTTATGATTACTTGGGTTGTCATGTTATCCTTGTATAAGAAACAAAATTAGTCAATAGATGAGATTGTCATTCACACTTGTTGCTGACGTTGTCTTTACATAATATCCGTAATATTGTTCAGTGTTACCAGCTTATGTAAGAAGACCTGCCTCAGAATCACCCTTTGACAATAAACCGAAGTAAAAAAGGAAATTAATGTACCCTTGAATTATCGAGGATGACACCGAAGTGACCAACAGGAAAGTAGAT